TGCCCAGTTTCTTATTTTTGTTCCAGTTGTCACTGTTGTTTAGCAGTCTGGTTCAAACCCACCAGCCAAGGTGTATGTGGTTGGCAGCTTACCCACTGAGCTATAGGCGCCACCAAGCTCTGCCTTCTTGATGTTCTGCAAACTCCCATGTGGAATCTGTTGTTTGTGGTTTTCCCCATAGGTTGTGCATCTCCGGTTCTCAAATAGTCCCAGCAGCACTGTCAGCTTCTGCCCTCCCAGGCCTTGATGGCACAGGGGTTGTGGACCTAATGGCACGTCTGTCCCTGGAAGAAGAGGTTTATGATGCGGATGGAAAGATTGAAGAGTATTTGGCTTTTGACAGGAAAGAGGAGTAAACAGAATTTTATTTGACATTGACTTCATAGTGTTACATGAATTTATCGGAACTTTATTTCTTATCATGTACTCATTTTGTGTTTTGTGTATTTTTTCATTTGTCTGAAAGATTCCTATTCTTCTGAGAGTAATGTACTATCCAGAGTTTTTCAGTTCCTAGCAGGGCGGGTATAGGCAAGGTCAGTGTGGCCCTTTCTTCTTGACAACATGACACAGACAGAAAACAAGAATTGCACTCAGCGAGTGGGGCCCCAGGTAGCCTGTACGTAGCTGCCCAAAAGGGGAAAGGGGAGATTCTAGTCTCTGCACTAAACATGTATTTTGTTTTTAAGAATACTACAAATATCATGTGCTAAAAATGTGCCTTATGATCACAAATGAGTACATTAAAAAATAATGCTGTTAGCTGGGCACTGTGGTGGGTGCCTATCGTCCCAGCTATTCAGGAGGCCCAGGCAGGAGGATCGCTTCAGCCCAGGAGTTGGAGGTTGCTGTGAGCTGTAATGCCACAGCATTCCACCCAGGGTGACAGAGTGCGACCCTATCTCAAAAAGAAAAAGCTCCTCAAAATACCAGTGTGTTGCTTGAAAAAGAATGAATGTTATCAGTATATACATACCTGTAATGTGTATCTGCAAGCATGATTGATAGAATGACTCTAACTCTAACCGTGGGCACTTTCAGTAATTAGAGGGATTTTTCTTCTTAGTGATGACGAGTGTCTGGAGCGAAAGCCAGCTCTCCGTAGCAGGAAACTGCAGAAGCTCGGACTGCCTCCCATTTCCCCTCGAGACTGTATCCAAGACACGGTGGCAGCAGAGGTGTTTGATCACGTCTGGACGAATGTGGTAGCAATTTTGGAAGAGCTGATTAGGAAAATCTGGGAAATGACACTCAGAGGTACTAACTTGGAGAATTGGGCCTAATAAGAAAGAACCCAGGGCCCCTGTGTCTGAGCTCCATGCTTTCCCACCCTAGCTTGGCCACACATAGGGCTCGATGAGGCTGAGAGGAGCTGTGAGCTTTCTGCCTTTATTCACAGATCTCTCATCACTTCCAGAAGGACAGGACTGTTTTTTGAGCTATAAAAATAATGCATATGCGCCGTGAGAAAAACACAGAAATATACATGAAGGAAGCCAGAAGTTACTTTTTTAAAATTGTGGTTTAAAAACAACTTATCTAACTAATCTTTAATAATAGGACACCTGCTTTTCATTGGTCATGACATTATTTGTAAGGTCAAATGTAAGCACAGCCAGTTGAATAATCACTTTACCTTTATTTCCACTTCAAGATGGTGTCTAAATTACTTAAAATGGAGCAGAAACAAATCATAGAAATGTCACCCATGCGCCTGCCACAATGGCTCATACCTCTAATCCCAGCACTCTGGGAGGCAGAGGCAGGTGGATTGCTTAAGCTCAGGAGTTTGAGACCAGCCTGAGCAAGAGCAAGACCCCATCCCTACTAAAAATAGAAAAACTAGCCAGGTATTGTGGGGGCACCTGTGG